TGTGGCTGGGGGGGGGGGGGGGGGGGGGGGGGGATATGACCTCCAAAATCCCTTCCCCCTGGGCACGCCAGAGATGACATGGATCCTTGATGGCATCGCTGCAGCACGACGATGGAAGAAACAATCAGGCGAGACGACATTCAGAGGTCGATCTTTGACTCATCCGACACCCCCGAGCGAGTGGGAATGGCTACAAAAAAGCATGGATGGTGCTAAATATAAATATCTTAAGTGGGTGGTAAATTCGTGATTGGTCACTTTAAGAAGTGGGATACCCGGAGTGAGGACGGCGAAGAAAGAGAAGGACGATGTGTATCGCTTCAGTGGCATTATCAGATTCCTTTCCGCATATTTCCGGAACGGGAGGGAGCTGAACGTGTAAATCAACGGGTTCAGTGCGGAATTCAGCGGCAGAAACACGACCAATATCGGCGACACCACCGACTCTGAAGGGTCACAAGAAACAAGATTTTCTTTACCTGGCTATTCTAAACGAAACAAACATTTTAACAGTAGCAGGCCTTATTGCAATAAAAGTGCAATAAATAATAAGTAAAAAATTACGTTGCGCATGCGATCGCATTAACTTTTTTATATAGGGTAGTGTGGGACTAATCGGTCACGATTTTTCGTTTTCCTTACTCCACAACCAATTATAATTATAAGAAATAATAACACAGAAAAACCTTTGGAACCTCAAACGGCCATGCCATTCAACTACTTATTCAGTCCAAAACGAAATCTGGAATATTGATATATTAGCTTAGAGAATTAAGAAATTAACATGTGGTCGGCGTGACAGATTAGCCCCAGGGGGTGGGGCTATTCGGTCACCTGCATTCCGTGTCAGTGTTTACTTTACTGCTCGATTCCAGGGACTGACAGATAAAAGAAAAAATACTTTCCAAAGCACAGGTAGGCCTATCGGGATCAAAAAGCCCCACACCACTCTATAATTTTCCAAAGTGTAACTAATTTGAATGAAATACAGCAAAACCTCGCTTTTAGCCACAGAAAATGAGTCGGGTGGTTCCATTTCAAATCAGGCACGGCCTGTCAGGTCATAATCTTTGATTTTTTTCAAAAATATATGTGATCCTCCCGTCCGAGAGATGAAATATGGTAACTTATTTACTTCTGCATCTACAATAGTTTCTGATAAAGAAATTCATAGTGAAAGGCTTTAAAACGGGCGATTTTGCAATATCCCTGTTTTCCCCACGTTCAATTTGCTGTATCTAATCTGTATCTGTATCTGTATCTGTAACTAATGAACATAGATTTCTAAAAATAATTTACCGCTATCTTGAAAGTACGTATTGTGTAGCCATATAGAAATAAAATCTGTATCTTTTTCTAAATACGTAATTTTTTATTTTCAAAATGGGCGAAAATGCTGAATTTATTGGTTTTTGGAAAATTTTTTCGTCACTTAAATATGCATCCCATATGAACTTAAATATATTTTCATAAACTACACAATGTCGCCTATGTCTTGTGCCCCTTTGGCATTTCTATCATTCATACTGAATTTGATATTAATTGCCAACTTTTGTAATTTTCCAGAAAATTAGGGAAAATGAAATTTTTTTTCCTCAAAACCCCTTTATTTGATTTCTTTTATTATCTTCACGTTGACACTAGGAGCATGAGCTATTGCATTGTACAAATATGTCCTACCCATTTTGCTTGACGCTCAGCGAAGCAAGAAGACGAAGATCGTTCGCAAGCCATCCAAAAAGCAGACTCTTAACAAGCCCACCTAGTAAATCGAACTTGATAGCTCGGAGGGATCAAGGGATTGAAGGAGAGAAAAACGACTTTTTTTATTTGTGCCGAATATCGAGGTTTTGTCATGTTTCATTTGGGAAATCATAAGGTGGGTTGGGCCCAGTGGTGTATTTTACAGGGGGGCAGGGGGGGGGGGTAGCCGCCTATGGGCACCAGGGGTGGTGCCCATAGGACAGAGCCTGGCGTCCCCTTGGAGGAAATAATTTTCCCACCTGATATCACTCGGGTGGAGTTTGACCCTTCAGCTAAAATACGCCACTGGTTGGGCCTATTCGGTCCTGATAGGCCTTCCTGTGCTTTGGAAAGTATTTTTTCTTTTACCTGTCAGTCCCTGGAATCGAGCAATGAAGCAAACACTGACACGGAATACAGGTGACCGAATAGCCCCACCCCCTGGGGCTAATCAATCACGCCGACCACATGTTAATTTCTTAATTCTCTAGGCTAATTCAACAATATTCCTGATTTCGTTTTAGGCTGAATAAGTAGTTGAATGGCATGGCCGTTTGAGGTTCCAAAGGTTTTTCTGTGTTATTATTTTTTATAATCATAATTGGTTGTGGAGTAAGGAAAACGAAAAATCGTGACCGATTAGCCCCACATTACCCTACATAAATTCCAATCAGATAGCGTTGTTAATGTAATCAGATTGCATTCCCCACATTCCTATCACAAGAACATGCCTGAGAACAGTATAACAGCAATGATTGAGTTATTGCAATAATTAATATTATATTTCACTAAGTCATGCTATTTCGATAATAACACGGAAGAAATACGTGTACATACGAAAGCAATAGTAATGTTATCTAATTGAAATCGGAAGCAATAATTTTAAGTGAAAAGCGTCCATTTGGAAATATTTTTGCTTCAAACTTCGAGCTTTCTTTAGAGCAATAATTTTATTGCAAAGGAAAGATGCGATTTCTTTGATAAAACTATCTCGGATGTAAAGGAAACAGAGAAAGAAAAGAAATAAAACTCCTAGTTTTCGGTTCAATCGAATCTTCTTCGGTCTGTAGACATATTTTCACAGCAACTTTAATATTTCTGAAATACAAAATTTATTCATAACGATCAACACCGAAATTTCAATAATTTCCTTTTCTTGGCTTCTTGGGGGAATTCGATGCAATTCTCTGCCGGAGAAGAACAATGCTGATTTTTTTAAAGTTTTACCTCGTCGAGCACATACTTAGGGATTGGTTATGGAATAGTTAAACGAGAGGATTCCCCCTAAAAGAGCGAAAGTGTACCGGGGATGTGGACGAGGAGGATGGAGACGATCTTAAGGATGATGACAGGAATCCAGCAGAGGCAGTCGGTGGCGACTACGAGGAAAAACCGAACGAGGAAAACCCAGTCGTTGCTCGCCCGCAGACCCATGTCCACGTTCTTCCGCGTCCGGAAGATCGCCATCCACATCCACGAGTACGACACGACGATCACCAACAGGCTGCAAGCAATCGAAAAGTGGGAATTTGCATTTGGCTCGGTCGAAAGAAGCCTGATTTCGCTCTTTTTCTTTTTCTTTATTTTCTGTCAGGACAAGGATGAGAAGCATATGGGATTCCAGATGGAACCCCACTATTGCTCGCTGCCTATTTGTACCGGAACTATGATTCAGGGCCTCTGCTTGACTCTTGAGAAAGCTTATAGAGCCTAAAGGGGAGGGAATCATCTTTCTGGGTCGTTACCATTCCGAGATCCTCGAGTTCAAATTTCTGGGTGGGTGATTTTGCTTCGTTTACGTGAGTCATCTTTAGAAATAGAAAGGGTGAACTTGTGCTTCCGCCCTGTCTATCCTCTCCCCCAGTTACACTATACAGTAAACGTGATGATTTAGAGCTAATAAAGGTTCTCAAAATGTATGTCTTTGATTTCTTTGTGGATAATTTCCCTTTTAATTCGGGTTTTGCTGCATTCTGATGCATTAAATATGGAAAACTGTTCTCAAGGTTTCCATTACGCCCACCCCTCATGGTTCATTGCAGAAGCGAATTGCGATGGCTTTGAATTTCAGGGGAAGGGATAGGGATAGTCAAGGGAGGAACAAAGGGGCTCGAGATTCATCAGTGTACACAAGAAGATGAATGAAGGAAGAATTGACAGATCCCATTTCCTTCCCGGGGCGTTGGGTACTGAAATTCAATACCGTCCTCGGTTCACTCCCAACATGGACGTCGGAAGGGGGTCTGGCCAAAGGGGAAAATTTGAGCGTGGTTTTCCAACCGACCACATTGGTCCAATGTTTTCTCTTCCCAAAGCATGGCACAATCGAAATGATGGCAGAGTTCGATTACATTCCTTCGAAGCGTCCTTAAAATAATATGGATGAAGGTTTTTCTTTGTTGAATTACTGAATGAAAATTTAAGCAGAGGGACGCACTGACGGAAATACAAGGCAAAGTGCAATACAAATTATAAATATAAAATACAAATACAAAGCCTGAACGTGAACAAAGCGCCATGAGCAGCCTGAAGTCTTCAGGTTGAAAATTTTAAGGGTGTGTCAATATATGACGACCTGAGGAGATTGATGCCGAAGAAGACGATGGCGGAGTATTCCCATCCCTTCATGTAAGGATCCGTGATGTGCAGAGGGAAACACATCCCCGACCCCGCTCCGTAGTACTCCACCACGTTCCATGCGAACACTTTACAGAAAGTTTAAGACGGAAAAAGGTGGGAACGAGAGGGAAGGAAATGCGGAAGGAATGGAACCTGGAAAGAGGGCGAGGGCGAATCCGAGGAGCCAGATGGCGGCGAGGATCGTTCGAGCGTGTTTCATGTCGAGTTGGTAGGAAGGGAAGGCTACACCCACGACGAGGACCCGATCCAAGGACAAAAATGCCAACACCAACACCGACACCTGCACGGTTCACGGAAAACTATGAAATCCGAGCGAGAAGGAATGCGGAGGCCTCAGCCGTGAATACCGAATTCTCTGCCTCCCGATCCGACCCTGGGAGCAACCGATTCCAAATCAGGGATGCAGAGAAACAGAAACTAGTCAAAGCAGCAAAAAAAAAAAAAATTTCTCGATTTACTCGACAAAAAGAGAGAAAACCATAATTTCCGGTCGGTTTCCGAAAATTGAATTTTTCTTCGACATGCGAACGAATGCAAAAGAGATATTTTCTCCGATACGCTAAATCAGCGGTTCTCAACCTCATCTCGTGTGCCGCGAGAGGCAGGCAGGCAGGCTTGTCGGGGGCTGCAAGCTTTTTGTTCTTCTATCCATGACCGTAAACATGGGTGGGAAAGGGTGAGAACTTCCCCAGGGGCGAAACTTAGCAAGGAAAAAGGAGTCGTCTCGGGGCGGCATGCACCAGATCCATTTAACTTAATCGTACTGATTTCATACGAATCCATTATTGAAAAGGGTATGGCGCGGCTAATCTTATTCCTATGAATGCCCATTATGAAATCGGATCGGTTTAGCCGATCTGGTGCATGTCACATTTAGTCCCCCTTCGTCCACTCACCCCCCCCCCCCCCCCCCCCCCCCCCCCCCCCCCCCCCNCCTTTTGTCCCCCCTCCCCCCCCCCCCCCCCCCCCCCCCCCCTCCATCCCATATCGGGTAATTACGGCCCCTGGGTCGATAACCCAAAGAAGGCACGGAAATGACCATGCCCCGTGGCGATGGATCTTCTCTTCGCATTAATGAAAAGCTATTTTCCTGGAATCTAAATCCAGTTCACTTTTGACGGATGCATTTCGGCATCCCGACTCGACCGAGTGAGATTCTGTGAAGCGAAAGATGTGGAGGCCCCGAGATCCCGTTTCCCACACATCCAGTCCTTCGTCTCGACCGATCGTATCGAGTTCACTTGGTTTCACGGAGCCGAGGGAACCGACTCTTTTCTCTGAAATATAACTTCGTGTTTCGCAGCCTCTCTCCGGATATCATTTTTGCTGAAAATTAGCTCGTCTCTCTGGGATGGTTTCCGCTCCGCATATCGAGAAGGAGAGAAATACTTCTGGTAGTCTCTGCTTTTCTCGTAGTTTCATCATCCAGCACGGCGATTGCATAGATTTGAAATGAACAAAGAATTGAGGAGTTTCATCGAATCTTCTCGATCGGTCTCGGTCATGGTACGTGATAGCTCAGAAAGAACATTTTCATGAATGCATCGTGAGTTCTCGGATCCCGGTCTCCAGAAACTCGATTCAGGTGTAAATGATTGCTTTCGGAGATCCACCGGATTCCCGATGAAATCTCGGCGGCGAAAGAAGAATGTCGTCGATGAGGTCGGCCGAGAACCGCCTCATTCGATACGTTTACTCCCGTCTGTGGCGTTAGCAATAGCGAACGATCGATGTTGCGGCTACCGGAAGAGAAAAAGAGAAGCCTGCGATACGAACGCGACGCATCGAGAAGATCTCGTATCCGCGATCGGAGAGAAACGCGCTCGACGTGGGATCGCGCCGTACGGACACCGACGAGAAACGGGACGACGTGCCGACCTGAGTGGAAAGCATTGCGAGGGCGCCGGCGAGGCTGCACATTCCCGATGACCTCCAGACCAGGGAATAGGAATTGTATCTTCCCGGAAGGGTGAAGTCCACTCCTCCGATCACGAACAGGTAGAGCCCCATCAAGAAATCCGCCGCTGCGTGCGAACCCGTTTTCAATCGGAGCGAGGCGAAGTCTCGTTCGGCGTTTGCACGGGCGAGAGTCGGTACGAATTCACGAAACGAACGAGTAAAAAAGGAAAGAAATCGTGAAGGCCCAAAAAAAATCGCATGCGTCATGCGATCCGATGGAACTCGTGCAACGTTTACGGCCGACATCGGCACTCGAAAGCGTGGAATCTTTTGGTACGGCCTTACGAATTTTACGGACCGCATCGTGATTCCGCGAAAGGGTCGGAAAAAGAACCTGCGAGGTTCTTGATGGAGAAGGTGACGATGTTGTTGTCGGCTTTGATCTTCATGCGACCCCAGATGACGAGACCGTTGCCGAGACAGGTGAGAAACGCCATGGTCCACACCCAGACGCGTAGGAACCAGGGACCCAACAGGCTCTCCGTCGAAGAGATCCCTGCAACGTTCCGTCCGATCTCAACTTTCGCTCGGTGAATCTCCGTTCGCGATCCACAAAGGATCGCAGCTCCTCGCCGGAGCGAAATTCGGAATGGGTTTCGGACGAGGTTCTCACCGTCGGAATTGGGATGGCAGTGTTTCACGCTCGGCGTGTAACTGCAGTAGTGGAAACTCTGGAACTCCCTGAAAGATTCCAAGTTCTCGCATTTTGAAAGTCGAAAGTTGGAAGGAACGACGCGCATCGCTCCAAATCGCAAATGGGAACTGACACGAACTCCAGGGATTTCATCGGGCGAAACATCTCCTCGGATATCTGCGGAATCCCGATCCCCTTCAGATACCTAATATGAGAGAAATTTTCGCACGACCGTACGAACATCGAACCTCCTGCTCGATGGAAATGGAAGAAACTCACAGGTTTCTGACGCGATGAAACAGGGAAAACGCCCCGTCACACAGCAGAAGTGGATTCCAAGACAAGTTTCTGTTTCGCGATTCCATATGGAATTAAATCTAAGATCACGAATTTGCTTTCGAAAGTTGGATTGGATTTCCTTCGACCGGCGAAAAAACTCACAATTCTCGTAAACTGATCAAGCCGGAAAAGACCCCCGAAGACAGGTGACGGATCTTGTTGGCAGACAGATCCCTGCATGCGACACGGAAATCCAGGTGAAACCGTCACCAAAGGGGATTCACGAGAGTGCGAAGTCTGGAAGTCGGACTCACAGGACTCCGAGGGAGTTTTGTCGCCCGAATGCGTTCTCCTCCATCGTCTGGATCCGGTTGCCCCTCAGCGTTCTGTGTCGTCGGATGCACCCGCAAGCCTCAGAAAAAACAGCTGGAAAAAGGTGAAAATGAAAATTCTCACTCACAGGTAATTGGTGATGTTCACCGAGGCGAAGGTGTCCTCCCGGATCTGCTCGATTCGATTGAACGAAAGGTATCTGAAACGAGAACGTCGGGGCACGAATTTTAGGATCGTAAATTTCCGACCGGTCTTTGAAACTGTTTCCGGAACTGACAGATTTCCGACGGAGGAGATGTCCGGAAAGGAAACGTGTCGGAGCTCGATCTCGTTCCTCGCCAGGTCTCTGCACTCGCACGAAACGAGACGAAATTTCTCTTCCGAGGCGAAAAGAGAGGCGAGAAGGAAAAGAAATCGCGGTACTCAACAGCATGAAGATGTGTCGGAAATGTCGGAGACTGGAGAGGGCCGAATCGGTGAGGGAATTCCCGTCCAAGAAAAGAAAAGAAATGGAGGAATTGAGACCCCAGAAGGCCGCTTCCTCGATTCCTTCCAACTTGCTGTCTAGAATGTGGCTGCAAAAGACCCATCGGAAACGATCAGTAGCCCGTTCCGGCCGATCGATCGAAGCTCGATGGAACTGACATATTGGTCAGAAGCGGGTTCCCTTTGAACACGTAGTTGGGCAGGCGCTTCAGGGGGTTTCTGTCGAGGACTCTGAAGAGACGAGAGAAAACGTGGCAGGATTCCACGGGGAAGTGGCGCGGCCCGAAGAGAGAAAGAGGTTCGGACTCACAGCGACACCAGACCGGGGAAATCGATGAAGGCGTCCTCGGTGAGGTTCTCGATCAGGTTCCCGTGTAACAGCCTACGAATCGCATTGGAAAATATATCAGCACGCGTTCTTCCGGGAATCGAACCGCGACATCGTGACCTTTACGTGCTCACAGCTTGGTGAGGTTGAACGGAAGGTTTTTGGGAATGCGCGAGAGATTCATGTTCCGGCAGAAGAGAGTCGTCCCCTGACGACATTCGCATCCTTCTGGATAAAGTCCTTCCATATCTCCAAGAAAAAAAAGGAGGTCGTCTGAGTTTCCGAGATCCTCGACGGACGTACGAGTTATCGTGCAAATTCTTACTATCGGGAAATTTACGCCTCAAAATTAAATTGAAAATAAAAATAAATAAATACCAAGGTTCCCGCCTGTGGGTAAATTTCCAGGGAAATGATTTTCGAGGAAGAAAATACCGTCGATTAGTCGGGGAAAGGAACTGGAGATGCGAGAAGCTGGAGGGGGGAAGGAGAGAGGGAGGGGGAAAGGAGGGAAAGAAAGATTGGGAGGGTGTGAATCCCCCTTGGGAGGTGGAACCAGCCCAACAAAGAATCGACAGGAAACTCGGTTTCGACTTCCGATCGATTCGTTTGTCGGGGTCTGGTTCATCCTCTTCGTCACCCACTGGAGGGATTTCATCATATTCACAGAAGAGGAGTCTCACAGCAGTCGAAATAATTCTCCTCGACATCCCCGAGGTCTGGATTCTGCCTGGAGATGCCTCCTAGGTGCCCCGTCATCTTATTCTCTGTCGAACGATAAAAAAAACATCACCGTCGAGTCTCTCGTCGAGCCCAAATACGAAGGACGATCGAATCGCTTCCGAAGTCGGAAGATCGCTATGTTTCATCTTCGATTCGGTATCGCATCTTCTCGTGCATCATCCTTTAGACAAGGAATAGTTTGGCAGCTCGAAGCTGCCAAGAGTAAGCAGTTTCTACATTCCCTCCCGAGAAAGGCAAACGTGAAAAATAGGGAAACTTTCTTCTCCGGGGAGGATTAGCCTGGAGTAGAGCAACTCATTTAACGAAAAGACCCATCTGTTTTCCATACCGCATTTAGTGTCAACGGATTTCTTCATCCACTCGTCATTTCTTGGGTATAAAAGTATGATGTAAGAGGTAGAGGTAATAGGTACCTCTCCAGCCCGAGTTATCATCGGTCAAGATGTGGAAGAATTTCTTCCTCATCCGTCTTGGCAATGACCACGACTCCAACAAAATATTCACGAAAGGAAACGATAAACAGATGAGGCGGTCGAAACAGATCTATTGACTCAGATTTATTCAGTTATCTGTTTATCGTTTTACTTAGCTAATATTTTACTCGAGCGGTAAATCGCATGAGATTGCCACGAGGGATGAGAACGAGGGAGCACTTGGAAATGCGCGAATCCAGAAAGTCTTGCGATGTTATCGATTCGAGTTTTCGGTTCTAGTATCCCCAGATGTGGTTTTTTTTTCCTGTGTGGAATTTCCCCATGGAACGCGAGGGACTCACTCTTGCAATTGTAGGGATTCTCGTCCTCGCCGTCGGGGCAGTCCCGGATCCCATTGCAATACATGGACTGATGGATACACGCCCGGGAAGAGTCGGAACAGGGGAAGAAGTGCTTCTCGCATTCTGCCGTATTTGCTAAAATCGGGTGAATTCTCACAATCAGAATCCATCGATATCATCATCGAGGATTCGAATGCATGCATTACAGGCAGCGTGCAGCGACCAGAGACCTCCCAGTGGCTCGGTATATAGCAACGATATGCGACGAACGATGGCAAACGGAGATACCGAAATTCCAGCGAGAGTAGAGCAGTTGCTGGGAGCAACCGAAGGCAAGAAACTCACAGATTCCTCTCGCCGGCCAGGGATGGATGAAGATGAGATGGATCCCGAGGAGCAGGCGACGCAAACTCTCCATTTCCCACAACTTCCTTTAGAAGTCCACCACTAAAAACGAGGGTAAACAGAACGCATGAAAGCAACAATCGAGACAAAAAGAATCTGTCGAGTTTGTGACATCAGACTCGCATCATAACTACGTGAACGAGTGCCAACATTTTAATTTTTTTTACCCTTTTTACTTGATATTAAGGAAATGAGACACGTACCACCCTGCAAGAAAGTCTGCCCCCTATATCACTTGTTTCAACATGACAAGAAATACAATCTGCCTTTTTCGACCAAATTAACACCATGTCCGGTCTCTAAACGTAAAGGACAGTGTGTGCATTTCCCCCTCGAACGTAATAGATCCCAAATCCATGAATTTCAAAACGTGGTATTTGGGACGGATTTTAAGCTGAAGGGGGTCAGAATTCGTCGCCCCTACCCTGCCGAGCTCTGGGGCTTCTTCCCTGTATCCTCTGTTGTAATGCTCCACGATGTCCTTTCCGTTTCACTTTACTTTTTTTTTATTATCCCACCCTCTACGAACACCGTTCCAGCTTTAGATGAAATCTAACCGATAGGAAGCACCACTCTTTCTGCAAGACCTCCGCACCCTGACATATGGTAGAAGAAGGTTTCACTCACTCGAAGGGACGTCTGTGCAGATGGAGAAGTGAAGGGAGTTGATGGCGGAAACCGTTAGATACCCTCGACGCTTGCGGATGCGCATGCCACTCGTCTCTCTTATAGATAGTTCCCCCTCATCTTCTGAATCATTTGCGCGATATCGGCAATCAGAAACAAGAGAGCATCACGATCGCAACGCTTCATCTCATTCCAGTCGATCTCGGCGGAGATCGATATCGGCCAGATATCGATCTCCGCCGATCGATATCTCGCCGAAATCGACTTTCGCCGGGTCGATCGGCGAAGCAAATTCGTTTTCTATCGGGAAAAAAGTTTCAGATTATTCCTCTCTATGAATTCCAGAATCTTGATTCTGAACGACAGAATGCGGAGTTGCAGTGCAGAGAAGATGAGATGGCGTCTTCCCTAGGGACAGTAGATGACACGTGGCCCTTCTAATTAATCCGGTAATCACATTGCACTGCATCACGCTGATTGATTCGGCAGCGAACAAATTCATCCTTTCAGAGAGGGAGGAATTCCTGCTCATGTCAGTAGATGAACGTTCGAACCCATTCTATGTATCTTGGTTAGAACCCACTCGACGAGGATATATTCAAGCGCCCAAATGCATTGCTCTCGGAATGAGGAGCTCCTTCGAACGGGTTGGGTCGTTGCAAAGAGGGCGAAGGTGAGGTTTAGGGAGCACGATTTTCCATGGCAATCGCTTCGAGGATGGGGTTGGAGGGTTACAGACAAAGCCTTTTAAGAAAGGCTTTTTCCAAAGATAGTCATTTGGGATGTTCGTCGGCCTCTAGACCGAGGAGGCGCCGTGCCCCTCCACTACTCTCTTCTCGACGTCATTCGAGTACCCTTCCTCGGGATGAAGGCAAAACCAACCCGGAATACAGGGTCGTGCAAAAGTTCCCGTACACTTTGAAAATCTAATTTTTTCACTAATCAACGGATTCTTGGTGATTCTGATGGTTTTTTTTTAATTCTACGGACATTTTTGATACGAAATGTTTTAATTATAGTAAATTTCAGTGTTTGAATTTTTTCTCTGGAGCTATGACGCCTAAAGAGAATCGAAACGCTAATCAAAGTGTACGGGAACTTTTGCACAACCCTGTAATCATCAACACCAAATCCTTAATAACCGTGTCATCTTGATCCATCTTTCTTTCCTTCCCCCAGAAAAGAACCTACCTGCTTTCTTCTACCTCTTGAGAATTTCTCGTTTCGACAAGACGAGGGACGAGACGAGACGAGGGCGTCGGGCTTCGCAAATCCCTGGTTAGATTTGGACAATCCAAAGTCAAAGTCATCCAAAATGAGTCAGCCGTTTCACTGTCGCACCAAATCCAGACGGAATTCTCTCCCGAATCTTTGTTTCTTCTCCCTTTGACTCCTCAAAACCCAGTGGCGGCTCGTGGTTCATGCAGCTCCGTAGGCCAGTGACGTAGCCAGGAAAGGGGGCTGTCCTGGCTCCCACCCCTCTTTCCCCCTAGCTTACATAAGGCTTTTTAGGCCCTCATAGGATTTCATTGGCCTGCCGAAAAATGAGACTCTCGCTACACTATTGGGTTAAGCCCAGGATGCCAAGAAAATATGGGTGACGGAAACCCGGAAAATGATTTTTTGTTTAGCGAGAGTCTTGAATGAAGTGGAGCGCTCTTACTGCCAAGTGTAGAGGGCGCCCAAAGTGAATCTAGTTTTCTCGCGACGATTCGAACCTGAGCTGAGAGAGTCGTTCATTTACATGTCGCCGGGAGAGAAGTCCTGGCCATCTTCGCTCTGCCACTTCAACATGTTGGGCTTCGTCTGCTTGAGGCCTGCTACCGAATCCCCCGTTTTTTTTTTCCTTCACCATCACTTCTAATTGCAACCTTTCGTTCGTCGAGTCGTGAGCTTCTGGAGTGGGATATGTTTATTCCCTTCTTTCCTGCAACTATCATTGCTCTGAATTGCTTCTTAAATATTAATTTAAAGTGTATTTAAAGTGTCAGTAATGCTCTCATTCATTATTTTTAGAAGTTGGTTTCCCGATTGGCATGAACGAAGAATTTTAATTCCATCAACTGGCCATTAGTTCGGTTCCGGACCAATTGTCTCTGAATCGTTCCTCTCTGCATCTCCCATTTCTCCAGTTTTCATACCAGACCTTACGGAAAGAACTAGTGTTCGCCCCGTCTTTTTGCCAAATTTGAAGATCTGGCCTTCCGTTCTCGGGAATTTCTCGCCTCTTTTCATCACTTCTTGAATAAAAACTAAATTCTAAGTCGGCAATGATGTCTCCCGTTTCTATCATTTTGCGCTTGCGTAGCCAATAATTCGGTACAAATATGACTTTATTACCACTTTCACATTACACTTCAATTGATCATCGGTACTATGATAGAAAACGTATGCAAGCCAATGAGTTCTTGTTTAATATATTATAGTACTAAACATTTTCTATCACATTCAGATTTACATTGTTATATAATGTATGACATAATTATATTAATGCAATATTTAAAAATACAGTCGAACTCGGTTATAACGAAACCTCGGCTATAACGACGAAAAGCGCCAGGTCCCGGCGTAGGGCCCATCAAGCAAGTTACATTTTACCCCGGTTATAGCGAGCTCGGGTATAGCGAGAACCTCGGTTAAAATGAAGTTCATTCAAGGTCCCACTGACGAAATCGACAACTTTGATGTCCCTAATCCGTCATTCGTAACTGGAATACCCATCATCGGAAAAGTGAGCGTCGGCGAGCCATGACTTGATCTTTACTGGAATCGGCATTCCTTGAGAGTTGTGTGGATACGACTGGAGGAGGGTGAGGGAAGAATAATCCCAAATAACTAAAAAGACTCTCTTATCTTCAGTCGCCATTTGCATTTTTCTTTGACAACACGGCCAGTGGAAAACGAAAGAGGCAAGCCTTCACGATTGAAAGGAAAGTGGCATGATTAGTTTAATATAAAGTGGTCGAAGTAAAGCTAACGTCGCTCGCGAACATGGACACCTGTTTCCACAATATGGGAAAATCATGGCAGCTTCATCCGTGCTCACGAGAACATGTCACGAAACAAGACATTTCGTAGATCTGTCGAGATGACGTCGACGAGTCCTTGCTAAAGTATAAAGTAGTACAAGGTCCAAAGAAGTGCGAACATCATGATTAGTGGGTCAATCTTGAAACTGATCTCCGCCAACTGAAACCTCCAGCAAACCTTAGGGGTTTGCTGGCTCACAGAACTCCAGGATCGTGACAAACAAATCTCTAAGCGTCGATGGTGATTGATACATTGCAGCTTCCTAGAGACATTCACTCCATTCATTGTCAACATCCAAGAGATGCAGAGCCCAATATGCCTCCTTAAATGTCGGCTGGACCATGCCACCCACAGTCCTGAGGTCTTCAAAACCGGTTACTCCAGGTTTATGGTGCAGTAGGAATCGTAGGTAAAAGACGTCTCCTTGGCTTGGGTGAACGTTGCATACTCTTCCAATAGTTTGAGGCATTCTGTCCGATGTGGGTTGTTGTTTCCGCCATTGCCACTTCTTGTCCCTCTGATTCCACGTAAAATGGAGTGAAAAGTCACAATAGAGAATGTTCCTGGCTCTTGGATCTTCTACATTCTTGGCAAAAAAAGGCTGTTAGCTTTGTCGTAGACATCCTCTCCATTGCTTCAGCAGCTCTATCTGGATAATAATAATAAAAAACCCTCTGCTGTTCCGGCAGATGCATCGGCAAAGACTCCACAGCTGGATATCTCCCATGAATAGGGATTCAAATATTCTCCAGCAGGCTTCAGATGCCCTAATGTACCTTGCATGGTGGAATGCCTCAACTTCGTTCTCTTCATCTGTGTGTGTTAATTGCACACGGTCATCATCCTGCCGAAATGATATTATTGCCTTGTCGAATCCCTTATACACGTATTTAAACAAATACTTGACTGCCTTGATCGAGGCGCAGTATTCCACATTGACATGGGCGTTGTACTTCAACAACTATGGATTACATGGAACCACATGACGATTGTCAACTTGAACTTCCACGTTATCGATTTTCATTGTGCCTGTATGCCCACCATCATTAGGACACCTTCTGTATTGTGGATAGGAATCATTTCCAACCTGGGTAACAGGGCTGAAGTCCTTTGGGAAGTGCTTCGTACACTGGGCCTAGTCACCTAATACATATCCACCCAATGCCCATTCACTAACATCTATTGCTCCCTTTTATATATTTCTTCATGAAGGCATCTAACCTTCTCTTAAAGGGTAGTCACGGAAGGGAATCAAGTTTCTCGTGAATTTGCATTCTGAATGGGCTAATGGCCAAAACATGGGAGTAGTCCAGTTCTTGAAATTTAAAATTCATGAAACCATAAAAATTCAACTTT